TAGATTGGAACACACTTAGTTCCCACTCTAATGTAGTGCCCTGAACCTTTCTCTTTTCTTGTGAGTATTCTACTCACCGCCTATTCGTGTGGCTATATACTATCAGTCTTTATCCTGTCCTTCTAAAGAAGAAAAAGCAAACAAATGTATGTTAAGTTATCTTATGCAATAAACAAACAAACAAAAAAAGTGAAATCTGAACATTGCTACACAAGTCTTGTATCAAAAACAAGTTTGGTTGCCGCATTTCTTATGTAAGTATACAGGGAAATAAGGTCTTTTGTCTGTTCAAAGGAGAGCATGTTTAGAGAAATAAAAAAACTAAAATAGCTGTTGTTTTCCTGAGCTCAAAACAAAACAAAACAAAATTTACAGAGGGGATTTAAAAGCACTGTTTGATGACACTAAGTCTCTTTGCATAAGAGAAGTACAGATACATGTGAGAAAGAGATACTGAGGATGTTTTAATGAGTAGAGGCTATCCTTGGCTTCACCTGTGGTCAAGGAGAACAAAACCCCTGTGAAACCTACATTTGTATGACCAGCAGCGGGTTTATAACTTGCTCCACAGATTGGCAGCTACCATCCTCTTAATTTCACCTTTAATATACCCACGCCAATTTAATGAGACATTTTATATTAGCCAGAGCAGTTACATGCCCAGAGAGAAATCTCTTTCTCTTAATTGCCCCATTGGCTTGAGATGCACTATCCAGTATTGGTTTCTCATCACATCCTTATTCCCCAAGCATGGGCTGTAGGGCACCTAACTACACAACATTTGGTTGTACCAAAGGTTTTCTTTTATATCTAAACCAAATGTCAAAGAAACGCTTAATCTGTTGTGCATCTCTTGAGTCCCTGATTGAGTTCCAAGTCTATACGCTTCAATTGGAGTTGTATTGCTGACGTGCATTTAAGAGGATGTTTTGCTTTCCATTCCCTAACTATGTGAGAAGATGTCACAATACTTAGAGACTTTATTTTCAGATTTTTGGCAAGAGCTATGTCTTTGCTATTCCCTGTAACTGTTACTTCAGCTTATAGGAAGGGGACAAGTAAAGTTCTGGTTGTTTATGGTATATTGTATTAGGTAATAGCCAACTTCAGAGGGTTACTTCAATGCCCTTCACTGTGTCCATCAGATTAAAATATTACAGATTACTGCATCCCATATCGCCAGTGCTTTCCGTTGCTTTGGAAGTTCATAGGGAACCAGTGAGGACAGTTACCAATCACCACCACAAATGTTTGGGCTCTTTCCTACCAGATGAGTTTTTACTACATAATTCGGAGCCTCAATATAAACTAAAATTGAGCTCTCCTTAATGGCAGTGTCAGAATTTGCTTAACCTAGCATTCAGTCCTACATCAGAGCTAGAAAAAGAAGTACACTTTGACATAATTTAACATGCTCAACCAAAATAAACAGAAATGTAACCTAATTAGAGTGAATCACAGAAAAATGCTGTACCTTAGGATTCATAAATAAGACCTTGGGCAGACTGTGAAAGCAACTCCCAGGCTTAAGCCCCTGAGGAGTAACGGTCTGCCTTTATGGAGCTCTGTGGTCCAGATCTCTGCTGTGCATGCCATTGGTACCCAAGGAACCTGGACCAAGGCATGAGGTTAGATCAGTGCCAATCCATTTACTTCAATAGTAGACAGACTGCTTCAAACACATGCTTTCCTGATGGTACAAGATGACCTTCATGTAGAAAGACTGTCCACCTTGAAACATGTGGCTATCTTTATAAGAGCAGCTCACAGAGTCCAAAAAAAGGCCTTCAACTGCCAACCAGATTTAATATTTGTTTTTTGTTTAATATTATTTAGACTCTCCTTCTTTTGACTGCTTTGTTTCTTATGCTGCCACCACCAAGTTTCCCTAAGGGAAATGTGGGTATCAGCACTGTCTTTGATTCTCAGAGTTCCAGATTTGGAGAATCTCAAAGAGTGGTTGTTCTCTGCCTTGGTTACCCTGTTCCTCCCTCCTCTAAAAGAAAATGGAAAGCGTAAGAGACTTGGCTGTCTTGAGTGGATCCTTTCGGTGTACTTTTCCAATCCTACAAAACAGAGTCGTGCTGAAAGAGACATATACCCTTGTTTTGAAGAACAGGAGACTAATATCTGCTTCTGCCTTTGTGTTATGATGTTTTTGTGACTGTGCTTATGAATTTTTTTAACTCATTGAATTTCAAGTATGATTTTTTCCATCCATAGAGTGTGTTCTTAGTTGGCAGGTTTCCACTTGAATTGACCCAGAACCCAGTTTTTAACAGTGGATTAGACATATTCTTCTATCCTAACTCTAAATCTGGGCACCCCACTTTGTAGTTCACAGTGCACCCTCACACTATAGGCACCTGAAGTGTCCCTGGTTCCATAGGTAGCTGCTTTTTTGGCAATGTGTGCTTACACACTGGTTTGACTGATTCTATTTAATTTTTTGTAAGAAACAAAAACCCACTAACCCAATCAAATGCATATTCATTTTGATGATGGATCTGTAGGATGCCAGACTCATTGGCTTGACTAAATTTCCCTTTTTTTTCCCTAAGAGCTAACAACCCTCCTGCAGAGCCAGCTACATATAACATCAGCCTTCAGGGTAGTTTTGGAAGATGACAGAATTGTGCCTTACTTTTGGCAACAGAAAACATTACTCAACTGATGATAAGTTGGGGGAGGGTGATTCAAGGAGTTTGTGGGACCTATTGTACCTCTTTGCTTGGCAAATTTTATTTTGGAATGCTGTCCCCTTTCATCTGAATTTCTTCCCCAAAATCATCAACTGGCTATCACTATGACTGGTCTAAATCAATATCAGTATGCTTGCCTGATCAGTGAAGATATTTTTTTCCACATACATTGCAAGGGTGTAGATGTCTCATTTATTATCAACTGACAGATGCTTTCCCGTCACCTTATAGCTGCACATATTAAAGTTGTAATGCAGGGGAAAATTTACCTCTTCAAAATCATATTCTTCAAGTACTATTCAGAAAGCCATTTGGCACCAGTACAGAATTTAACTTAAAGATTCGAATTTGAAAGCGTTCTGTTAGAGAAATAGAAATGGGGGGAAAAAACTTTTTTTTGTTTCTGAGAATAAGGTCAGAGTTGTTTTAAAAGAAGCACTGCTTTAAAAGTTACAGGATTCAGAGAAACATAGTATTTTTGTACAGTATCTTATAAAATGTTCAGGTCTCTACACATTCTATTTACAATGTAATGTCTCTTAAGTGACTGGTTTCCCAATAAACTGATTTTGATGCCTCTTCTGCTGTGTTCTGTGTGCTTAATTCAAGCAGAAACTTTAGCGGTGAACAGTTTACAGTAGAAACAACAGGTAGCCAGTGGTTTGCATAGGAGGGGAGAGAGCAAATGGGAGGGGGTGATAGAGTTGCATCTGTATAGAGGTACTGAGACATCTATGGATCAAAAGCATTGTACCTAAAATACTTATCCTGGTTGGTTGGGAAGCTCCAGTGGTATCTCTTTATTGAGCCCATGATGAAATAATCCCTTTGCCCCCAATCACCCTTTCTCTGGATTCTTCTTGCTTAGTTACATATGCCTTTTTCCTGCCCTCTTGCTAACACGTGCCCAATGACATACTTCTAACCTGCTAATATTTCTTGGAAGGTAAGCTCTCTTGCATTCTGATAATTGTCTATTTGATTTTAAAAGCCAGAACACCCTCTGCCTAGATGAAAATAGACTACCTACCATAGTAGAGTTAGCTAATACTTGGCGATTACCCACCCATCTATGATACTCCTTCTGCTTAAAGAACTTCATGATGGATTCGTTTAAGCAGAGGAAATGTTTGCTAACTTAGGAGACTGAAAACAAAACCCCAGGGCAACTCCAGCTGAAGGTGATTTATTTATTATAATTTGGTTATGCCTCCTTCCCATAGAAAATACCTTCAGTGTTGGTACTTTGGGCACTCTTGTGCTCTGTGAATAGTGTTTGTGATGGATGTCAATCATCCAGTAAACCTGGCAGTTACCAAGCAGCCCCGTTCTGCTTCTTTTCAGAGGGTTGGTTCTCAGATATAGGCAGCGTGGAACACATGACCACATGCCCTTTCCTGAATGTAGTTCATCCCCACACAGTGTTTTTGCATAATCCAAAACTGTCATGGCACAAGTGCAGATGAGTGACTGGGTTTGTTTTCATTCCGTATTGAGTCAGCGCCAGGTAGAGCAGGTGTCGGTGCCTGGCCCTGTGAGTAGGAGCATTTCATAGTTACGTTGAATGTCTGTGTGCCTAACATCTTCATCTCCTTTCCTGCACATTGTGCCTCTTATGTTCCAAAATGTGAGACAGTGATTGGTTGTGTTCCAGTTTGTGTGCAGTTTCCTTGCCTGACTTTTCCTTTTCCGTTTTTCCTTTTCCATTTTCAACATCTATTATTTGGTCCCACCACGTTTCTACCGCGGGTTGACCATTAAATGTTCCAGGAATGGAGTTGAACTGAACTGTGCACTAATTTTGCATTTTGTGCTTTTCTAGGTCTCCAGAGAGAGCCCAACCCCTGTCCTGTAATAACTGTAGAGCACTTTAAAGAATCGACAGGTGTTAAAGACCTTCCCCTGTATCCAGATCCCTCCGGGGCTCCTGACACAAAAACTCAGAACAAGTTAGAATCCGACTTCTTGGTCAGAGATGGTCCCTCAAGCAACAGCTCATTCCATAGCAGTGAAGAGGAAGGGACTGACCTTGAGGGGGACATGCTAGACTGCAGTGGGTCTCGCCCTCTCCTCCTGGAGTCTGAAGAAGAGGATGAGAGCTGTAAGCTCCCCCAGGAGAAACTGACAGGAGCTGGTCCATTCACTCCGCCAGGTGTTGCTACTGAGCAAGCAAAAGCAGGACTGGATGAGAGAAAGAGCCAGGTCCAAGCCCTTACACAATCAACCACGGATGGTCTCAGTGAGCCAGATGTTTTCTCCACGGCCCCCTTTAGGAGTTCAAGGGTTCCAGCTGATGACATGGACATTTTCTCCAAAGCCCCGTTTGTCTGCAAGGGCAGCTTGGCTTCTTCCCAGCCAGAAGAGGCAGATGTGTTTTTGAGAGCTCCTTTTACCAAGAAGAAAAGTTTGGAGGAGCTAACAGTTGCCCAGAGCACCTCCCAGGAGTTGCCTACACAGGTTAGTGTCCTCAACCAGACAGGTGATGTCCTGACCGGGGCCACCCCTCTGCTCTCGAGCCTTGATAGAGCAGTGTATACCGCTGTGCGAGTTCAGTATGCTGGGGCTGCTTTCGTCCAGCAACCTCATCTCCCTTCCCACTCTGTAAAAACAGCAGACCATCTCAACAGCATCTCTCCCAGGGGACCCTCCCTGGAACCTGGGGGCCATCCTAACGACAAAAACAAAGGACCGAAAGAGGCGGTGTCAGGTCCTGTGGCTGGCAAACCATTTCTCCCCACATCTTTATCCAAATATTCCCGTCACTATAGCCCAGAAGACGAGCCAAGTCCAGACACCCAGCCCGTCGCTGCCTACAAGATTGTCTCACAAACCAACATACAATCGATAGCTGGCTCAGTATCCATCACACCTCTTTCCTCCAGGACTACAGAGCTGCCAGCTGCTGACCCTTTTTCTTTAGCACCCTTTCCTTCAAAATCCAGCAAGCAGAAACCATAGGAGCAATAGCTGAGCCTTCGTCCTCTGTCTCCACCCGACCCCAACACCTGCCTCCCCACTCCCAGCTGAGCCTTCTCAAGAAGAACTAGATCAATTATCATCTTTCAGTTCCTTGCTCTCAGAGCAGACCTTCTTCAGTGAACAAACTCAGTTGCCATGATAGTTAGTTAGAACTCCTTTAAGTTATGCACATATCTTCTGTTTATATTTCTGGACTTCTAGACATTTCCATCTCTTTCCAAGAGGCCTTCATCTCCACCCAGAACCCACCCTGCTTTTTTGGGGGGCCCTGCAACTGCTTAAGTCCAGAAAGACTTCACCCCAATCCCAAAGGGGCCCATATTATTGCTAATTTTAACTCTGTACTTCCTGTTCTGAGTCATGTCCATTGAGGAATCAAGATTAGTCCCTCCAGGACTAATGCAATACTCTTGGAAAGGAGAGATTTCTGGAAAGAAGCACAAGATAACAATCCTGCACATCAAGAGGAAGCGTACTCCTGAAGATGCTAATCATTCCTTTAAAACCAGCAGCTCCCTATTTGCGTCTGTGCAAGTCAGGCTGTCCCTTTGTATGTGTGTGTTTGTGGGTGTGTAATGTGAATCCTCCCCATTCCTATGTAGAATTGGTCACTCACCAGATTCAGTGTCTGTTCTCGTATCTAATGGAACCTCCTTACATCCAGACTTTAAAAATAAGTGTGAGTGTCCAGAGGTATGTGTGTGCACGTGCGTGCGCACACAGGAAACATTTTCCCCTTAAAGTCCTGTCCCACCACGCCTACCTCCACAATCAAATCACTCATTTACCGGCATTTGGTTGCTGACCTAACTGACTTGAACCCTGGTTTTGTTTGGTTCTTTTTTCATAACAAAATTGAATTCATTGGAAATTCATGGGGAAATACTGACTGGAACCGAGGTATCAGATGGATTTAATTCTCAAGAATATTCCTATTTGCTATTAACAAATTCCATTTACCTGGTTGTGAAAAATTAATTATTCTTAAACTTTTTTTTTTTTTAATCTTTGCCATCTTTCTCTCCTGCCTCTAGAGAAAGATAAATCTAAGACATGTAAATAAATTTGTCTAGGAGAATAGAAAAGAGCTGAATCAATTTTTTTCTGTATTCCCTTTAGATGTTGAAGTAGACCAGATAGGTGGCTGACTTGTGTTTTTGAAAATGTCTATTTCTGGAAAGATCTGACGCATTTCTAGCTTTTTCCCCCTATCTTTTATTAGTGCCTTAAAATAAAACCTACATCTCAGTGGGAAGATTTCTGCTGAAGAAGTCAGTTTCATGTAAAGAGCTACACCAAGTTTCAACTTGAAAGCTTTGTGTGACTTCTAATAAATGTGAGTGATTTCTCCATTATCTGGGGAAGGAGAGAGAATTGTTTACCAAACCAGATTGCTGTTTTATGAATTATTGGAAATTTATCCAAGAATCAAGCCTAAATGCCAAACTACTTTGCAATTGGTTCGGTAAAATATTCTGTAGATTTTAAAATGAAGGATCGTGAGAATAAAATGTGAACAGCTGCTTTTCAAGACCTTCTAGTTTAGTCTCTACTTATTTGAAATAATCCAGGCTAAAAGATGAAAAATTGGCACTGTAACAAGGTCTCAACAGTTATTACAGAAACTTGCCTCTTACTTTGATGGATGCTAACTATTCATTATAAGGGTCTACTTCCTCTGATGCATCATTTCTGAATCTTCTTTATAACAATGGATGCAAAACCATCCTTCTAGTGAAATGAATCGTTTTGGCCACTGCACATGCGGCTTTGCTCCCAGAGCTGTCCTCCTGGTCATTAGTCATGGAAGCCTCCAAGACATGAGCTAAGACGATAGCAATATTCAGGGGGAGTCCTCACCCCACAACCAGAAAATCTTACAAAGTGGAACTCCAATCTTCCATAATTCAGGATTATCTCTGGAACAGTCCTGAAAAATTGTTTTTAGGGAGTGATTTGATCACTCCCTCCTAATCAGGTAGTCTTGTTAATTCTCAAGGTACAAATCAAAAGTAAAATCATGATGATTTTATTATGTGGTTGAATCATTTGTCAAGCCTGGGCTTGAAACCATTTTTATGTTCTCAGTGGAGATTTGTAATGGCTGAAGATTCCAAATAGTCTGTTTGAATAAGGAAATTCATTGTAAGCACATGCAAATTCCTTTTGGTTTTTTCCTTTCTGAGTGATGCATAAATTTTTTTTTATTACTTGGATTACATTTATTAAGGCTTTCTGCTCCCATGAAGATTTACAGCCTTTGGAAATCTTATACAGGATTGTTATCAGTCAGAACCGACTCGATGGCATGCAGCAGCAGCAATAACTGGTGAATTTTACAGACATGTGCTATGGTTGGGTTTTATTCCCTTTCTACTGACCCTCTTTGTTGTTAAGTGCTATGGTGGAGTTGGTTTGGAATCATTGTGACCTTGTACAGGGTTTCTGAGGCTGTAAATCTTTGCCAGAGCAGAAAAGCCTCATCTTTGTCCGTGGAGCAGCTAGTGGGTTCGAACTGATGGCCTTGTGTTTCACAGACCAGTGTTTATCCTAAAGAGCCACCATGCTCCCTTTATATCATATAACTATCGCTCAACCCTCTCAAGATTGAATTTCTCTCAGCTTTGAATTTTGTGTTGAAGCCATGTGTTTTCAGTAATGGAAGGTATTCTGAATTTAAATGGAGAAAATTATATTTGATGTAACAGATTTTTATATAATTAGTGGGACACATATGTCCCAAGAAGTCTCTAGTGTTGGGGTAGATGTGACGAGACCTGTTTCTTCAGATTCATGCAGTTATACAAGTGCCCATCAAATGGCAGCACACACTGAGAAGTGAAACAGGAGTTTTCCATTACCAATACACCCCCACCCCCACCCCTGGAAAAAAATGTAGATGGGGCACTATAGGTCCCATCGGCAATAAGGGTTAAAATGGTCTTGCTGGAGGCAATCCTGCTGCTAGACAATTCAGTTTTAAAGAATATTAGGATTACTTAAACTAGCAGATTCATGTTTCCAACTGTACTGCAACAGATTAAAATTAAGGAGAAAATATATAGCCAACAAAATACTGTAATTCCTTGTTTTACTTTGTTGTAGGTGCTAATTTTGTTACACATCTGGTGTGGCATATAGGAACTTATATAATGACCTTTCATTTCGCTGAAAAGCAGTGAACCTGAGTACACGCAAGCTAAGCATTGAGCCACACCACCACTGGTGAATTCTTAAGGAATCTACATTAATTGACTAATTTATTTGTTAAGTGCCACCGAGTCAGTTCCGACTCATAGTGACCCTTTATAGGGTCTCTGAGGAGCAGCTGCTGGATTTGAACTGCTGACCTTGAAGTTCAAACCAACCTTGCAGTACAGTGCGTTTTCCTGCAGCGCCACACCAGGACTCCAGTGGACTAATAGGCACCATTGAATTTATGACATATATATATGTTGAAAATTATTTACCATTAACTGTTCCTTGGACTTGCTTTAGCTCAATATCCTTGGTTAGACTAGAAAATGAAATGATAAAAATGTGATACTGAAACAGATGCTCTGCAGGACCTTACGGAATCCAGATCCTATTTAGTTGAGGGCCAACTCATTGTAAGCTTGAAAATAATCACACATGTAGGCTGATGGCACAGGAGTTAAGCACAGCTGCTAATCAGAAGGTTGGTGGTTGAATCCACCAGTGGCTCTGCTGGAGAAAGACTTGGCAATCCGCAGCCTAGGAAAGCTGGTGGGGCCTGCCACACAGGGTCCCTGTGAGTAGGAATAGACGCAGCAGCAGACTGCTGTGGATGTGTTTACATACTCAACTTGGTATTGAGCGTAACCTGACAACCACAATCTCTCTAAACTTTCAACAAAGATGCTGGTTTCTTACTATCCCTTTGATTTTTTTTTTTTTTTTTTCAGTAAGTTTTAGAATACGCAAAGACCAGTGTTTTTAACTCCTTGACAGATATTCACTGGCTAATAAGAAAAATAATGGATTGACGTTTTCTTTAAAAATATGAAGGGGCTTCAAAATGTATGGGGAAAAAATTTCATTATCTTTTAATGCCATTTCCCCATGAACTTTTCGAAGGCCCCTTGTAATTATAATCACCAAAGTGCTCTGTAAAAAGAAATTCAATCATGCTGTATTTGTTTCCATCAAGAAAACTAATTCAAGTGTGTTATCATTTTACATATATGTATTATGTCAAATAGGAAATTTACTTTTAGGAAACTAGAGAAGGGTGAGATTCCATTCACTCTCGCATAAAGGACACAATCTAAAATGGAAATCCCTGAGCCTCTTGAGTAAAGAAAGAACTTACTCTCAATTGTGTCTTTGAAATTGGAGAACACGTACCAGCCAATTCTATGAAAGGGCTGTTGGCCACACACATGTAGTTTTACCTGAGACATTTGGAATCCAAATAATGGTGATGAAAGATACATAGGACAGCTGCTGAGGAGACAGGGACACATTGTTAATGTCCACACCTGCCTTTGAGTTTTAATCTTCCAAGCTGGCCTGTAAGAGTAAACATTGAGGATTTAAAATAGAATTTGTTGTTGTTAGGTGTCATCGAGTTGGTTCTGACTCATAGTGACCCTATGTGCAATGGATGGCCCACTCCTGCGCCATCCTCACGTTTTTTATGCTTGATCCCATCATTGCTGCCACTGTGCCAATTCATCTCGTTGGGTGGGCATCTTCCTCTTTTTTGCTGATCCTTCACTTTACCAAGCATGATGTCCTTCTCCAGAGACTGATCCCTCTTGATAATACATCCAAAGTACGAGAGATGAAGTCCTGTCATCCTGGCTTCTAAGGAGTACTCTGGCTATACTTCTTCCACACAGATTTGTTTTTCTTCTAGCAATTTGTGGTTCTTTCAATATTCTCCTCCAACACCATAACTCGAATGCATCAATTCTTCTACAGTCTTACTTATCCAGTGTCCAACTTTCACATGC